GCCATGTTATCCCTAATATACCACAGTATACCAACATCAAAAATAGTTTGTTGGAAGCACTAAAATACCTTCATCTGTGTTAACAACATCATCTGCTTTCACACTGGATGAAAATCCTGATTTGGTCAAACAGTTTTGCAGCATCATGTGACCATATACTGGAAAACAAAATTCATTATTAGTGTTATAAATTCACTAGAGTCATGACAGAAAAAAATAATGGTTACTTACTAAAATATGGATTCAAAGCTTTCTTTAAGAGTTCATTTTTCTTTGCTGATACAATCTCATTCAGAATGTCTTTCAACCTGTTGGGAATAATGACTGACAGTGAATAACTAAAATTGAATGCAATGCAAAGTAAATTTCCTCTGTCTGTAAGGACAAGCARCATGTTAAAATATGCCAGTGAATAAGTATAGCTTTAAGGTGTTTCACAACAATACCTTTCCAAGGACACTAAAGGTTCTCTCTTTTTAGCCAAGTCAACAGGATAAACTTGCCCAACAGAAATCTTCACATCATCATTAGCAACATCATTTTTTCCTTTCTTTCCTCTAGACGTTTTATTTTCTTTGTTGTCCTCATCTGTTTGTTTACTRTCTGCTGSATTATCTRAAGTAGATAAATTTCAAATTCAAACCTGATAAGAATTGAATCAAAGGCTTGAAGAATTTTTTTGGGAAATGAAGGAGGAATGAAATGGAAGAAAGGAAATGTGCAATGCTTCAAAYATGCAGACATCAACTTAAGAAGAGATTAAGCGAAGAATCAACAAAATAAGAGCAGACATTGGCAGACAAGATGAAGAGGAAGATAGAGAATCAATGTGAACCCTACAGTTTCACTAAAAAAGACAAATATCAGACAAAATAGAAAACCTTGAGGAACAGCAATTCCAAACAAATCCATTTTACTGTCATCCTTAGCTTTCTCAATTCTTTTCCGTAGTAGATTCAGAATGACGTAGTTCTTGTCTGTGAGCACAATGTTTCCCTAAAACAAATAGACTATTAAAAATAGTGTTAAAAGATTTTATACAGTTTCTTCTAAGTTTCTCCAACCCAAAATTCCTAAGAGTGTAAGGAATGCCTGTCTCAACAGGCTATAAAACATACAAATGCATGGAATATCAACTCTTTTACCACAATGGTGTGTGAATTTCCAAGCACTGACTGGTTGATTAGAGTGCGTCAATAAGAGGACATACAACTTAAAACCACTATTTGTTCAAAGTTATACATCCCTTATCAAATTCATTAATAATTCATAAGGTAAACACAATGGAAATCATCGCCATGACCGCATCTTTATATAAGCAAGAGATTTGTCATGATTTGCAATTTTCTCTTAAAAATGATATTTTGTCTTGGATTTTTTTTAAATATGCTTTAAATAGCGTATGTTGGAATTTGATAAGCAATATAAAATATTCACGTCCAACCTTTATAGGGAAGTTCACAGCTTTAAATTCCCATAAGGTCTCCCACTTATATTTTATATATTACATGAATATCAATCTTAATAAGTTTGGTACAAGTAGTACATACTCTATCATACARCTCTACAATCAAGTGATGTTCATAGTCATCAGAACCAAACTGAAGATCTACAATTCTATCCACRCCAAGCTGGGTCATCGCAATAAGACGCTTCTGTTTTATGTGCTTACGCAGCTATAATAAAAATAGTAAATTATTTATTATTAATATTAACACACAACATTGAAGATATATGTTAGGTATAATGTACAACAATCCTCAGTTGCTAGCAAAATATATTTGTTAAAGGACAGGGCATTGGGGTATTGTGATTATTATTTTCATTTCAAAATTACTATAATTTCAATTTCAAAATTTGGTAATGAAATCAAACTTGATGTGCAATATTTATTCCCTTCAGGACAGCTTAAACAGTGAAAACAATTAGAGTTCAAATACTAAGTGCTGCTATGAATAGTTCAGTGGAACTTACTACCTCTTAAAGTATTTTTGCATTGAAAAGTACAATGTGACCTCCACTATACAAAAGTGTGACTCAGCCAATCAAAGTAAACGTTCTAAAGRTGTTTATACAATTGGGGTTACCTTGATAGCAAATCCTGAAGGAAAGGAACTCTTGGGCCATTCAAACTCAGTAGTATGAATTCTGTTCCCTGATTCTATCAAGAGCATTGCTTTTTCTTCTTGTCTATCAAAGACAGGCATAYAACAATGATCATAATAAGCTTACAATAAAGTTAAATGCCACATGCATGCATGGATGCTTTACTAAGAATTTTAAAAAAATACAATAAAAACCACAAACCTTTGTAGYTTGATTAGATATGTTTTATTGTCAATGTCATAAACATTGATAACTCTCATTCCTGTAAGTCTGAAACAGAATCACTCAAAGTTACGCATATATCTTAAGTTATAACGATGTGAGATGTGTGAGATGTGAGTTGCAAGTTTGAATCTTGTACATCGAAAAGTCCTCTTACCTTTGGCTTAGCTCCGTTACGGAGGCACAAACATCTAGTGTTGTAAATCTTGTCTTCATTTTATTTAGATCGATGTAAAATTCCAGTTAAATTMTTTATATTCAGTAATTTGAAAGGAAATAGAAATAAACTTGTTATTCTTCAGCTTCCGCCATCTTGAAAATCTCACACAGCCACAGGGAGCCCGGCGCGTGAAGGTGAGCTGSAAATTTGTCAGAAATCCGAGCTACTCTGGMTGCATGTGGGATAAAAAGTGCTTTTCTAGGCCGTTCGCGCATGAGCACACGTGTACTTGACCCCGTGAATAGATCAATGAGTTTGAAAGTTTTTATTTGTGTTTTGATCTATATTCATTACCGTAACTAAATTACATGTATGAATGGTGTTTTAACTTTTCAGGTATCGCTAGTGTAGCTGAATGCCGAATGATAAAGACTAGTTTTGCTGTGTCAAGAAAGGGCAATTTAAACTTTTTGAAAATTTTTGCTTTTACAACTCATTTTTAGTCGTCTTTTTTTAGCCTTCAGTAAATATAACACGATAATTTTTGGATTTTTTGATGATTGAGGAACAAAACCAACTTGTGTAAAACAAACTTGTGTCAGGATATACAAAAGATGTGGTCTTGGAGAAAATAAAATATCGCAATGGATCTCGKGTGTTAAAATGATGAAACATGGCTGTAACCCAGGGACATATGTTAATTTTGTTAATTTTGCTAAATTCCAGCATGTTATGACGTTCTCACAATGCAAGACATCACCGAGTGCTTCCTGACAATTATCTTTTTGCGTATTTTATATTAGGCGGTGCGGGTGTGYGGAAAGTGTAAAATATTGCGTTTCCGCTCGTCGGTGTCATGTCTTCCGATCGTGTATCGTTATACTTTAATACTACTCGTAAAGGGTGTTTCTGAATGAATAGCTATCAGAAATTACTTACGGCAATGATATAACAAGTTTATTTTTAATTTGACTAAGTCTCTTGATACATTGTTCTTTAATTGTTAATAATATATCTAAATCTAAAAAGGCCTGTTTATATTCAGTTAAACAGTTTATCTTCTTAAAACATAAATGCTCAAGGTGAGAATTTACCACTTATACAAACAGCTTTTAAAACTATATTGAATTAATTTACATATGTTTCAGTCTCTTTATTAAAACAGTTCTTCAGTGTTATCGTCGTTGTTAAGCGGAAAGAAGTCGAAACGTTGGTCGTTGCTATCAGCTTTTTGTCAAAAATGAATCGTGAACTTTAAACTAAAACTTGAAAGTCTATCCACTTTAAAGAAATAAATAGTAAACCAGGAATAWTTTTCCAAAATTATCATGGGAATTCCTCCCAATTTAAATTCAATTTCGATATAAATAATAAATGAGAAAACAGCATTATAGGATCACAAATCTGTTACATTAACAGTTTTCCTTCGGCCTTTTCCAGTTTGTTTCCGATATATTAGAATTCTAAACACTTGAATGCAAAATAAAACATTAGACATTCGTTGTTTGTTGGTCATTCGGCGAGGTAAACCTWATGAATAATACACAACGCTTGACTTCAGGGAGGCTAAACCTATAAATCTTTGATAATGAAAGCTTCAATTTCACATAATAAAGGTCTAACTTGGATAAGAGAAGATCCAGTTTGCTCGACACAGAGGAAAACATTTTGACCTGTCTTTCAGGAAATCTAGAGGGAATCTTTGCCTTCATATGGTAGTGTACAGCTGATCGTCGACTAGTAGAAAAGAAGAACTTGTAGTTATTGGCAAATATTTCCAAAAGAYGACGGTGTCGTTAAGTATATTTCCAGTAATTATTAGTAATTTAATATTTCTCTCTTTCTGCAAAAATACCGTTAAAAGAATCTAGAAAGTTACTGTAGAGCACGGTCGACGAGTTTCCATGATGTTACTCTACAACAATCATTTCTTTTAAATTTTCTCCTACCGAACAGTTAGATGAAAACTCGGAGTCCTCGATTGCCGATAGATGGCTGTCATCTTTCCCTCTTGAAGCAGAACAATTTGAAAGCTTCAAGTTGAAGCCTGTCGTAAACGAACAAGATGTTGTTTCTGCGTCTATTAAACTCTTATGCTCGTCGTTTTCACAGCTTAGTTCAACAAATTGCTTTTTGAAGGTGTTTTTGCCATCATTACTTGTTGAACCATTTTCACTGTCGTGTGTCGTGCCATCCATGATCTTTGACGTGTCTGCCGTAGTTTCCTCTTCGATTCGTACAAGAGCAGCCCCTGCTGGTCCTCTTTCGCTTCCAGCTGCTGCTTGTGAATTGGARTTATCCRTTCCTCCTGGAACTGCTTCGGTTATTCTTGTTTCTGAGCTTGTTATTGTCCCTGATTTATCCCAATCCGAACGAAACCGATAGCGCTTGTGTCCTTCTTGTGTCGTTTCCTTTCTGCATCCTCGTCGTAAAATACAACACATCGTGATCATGATGAGAAGAAAAATCAACGCAAAGAAAACAGCTAGCGTTGCTACTGTAGTTTGCTCACTGCTATTCATGATSTTTCTGTCATGAGGATTTTAAAAAGTTTCCTGAGTTTTAATCGCTAGTTCAGTGGTGCCAGTGGTACAGTATAAACGGTTATAATACCACTACGATATGGCAGTACGCGTTCGTCAAAATGTCGATTCAAGGCATGATATTTTTGTAGGCGACTCAGCTTCGCCGTATGATCGATGTTATCTAGTTTCAGGAGTCAAATTGAAGCGTACTTGATTGATCTGAACTCGGGTAGTAATTGGAAGAGAGCTGACGGGCCTCAATACGTCACTTAGACTAAGAGAATCAAATTGATTCCATAGGAGAAAACATGGCCATCATCGACTAATTCGATGGAGAGCAGGTGGGCTTAGCTTGCCTCAATATTTACACGTAATTGGACTACTGCGTCTGTGTGGCCTGCGTAATACACCATGAACCACTTGGGCGATTATGTAAAGCTTGCAAGGATCATTTATACATTTGTTTTGATAGCAAGAAACTAAAGGGGTAATTTACAATATTGGAAACCTGACTTTTCCATCTCGTTTTCTTTTCTGATTCCCATTGGGAGATTGCTGTGAACATGTTATCGGAGTGTACATCATGCGTCGGCAGCATRTTATTKTTATTATGTTTCTGATCGCCTCTGTTTTTGCGTTAAAAGCTGCTTGATATTGATTCTCTTATGGAAAACAATTACAATTAAAAACACTTTTACAACTTGGCTTGACATTGACCCCCTTTCAGTCGCCTTCTGATAAATGAACAAAAAATAATACCGCTTTAAACCAGATAATCTTTGGAGTCAATCCGCCATCACTTGGCGCTCTTACTTGGTAATCTAATAAATACTATCGTCCATGGCAGATGTTTCGTGACCAACTCACAAACACAAATTCAGGTCTTTATTTTATTGTTTTTTTTAATTACACTGCATGATTATAATACGATTTATGTGACGCCATTACGCTTCCTGTTCCTTCCTAAATACACTGTTTATTTTTCAAGCTTCCATTAGGTTAAATGAATGTGTGTATATAGTTATAAAACTACACGGTACACTTCCACCTCGAACACGACACAAATTATCTCACAGAAAAGTGAAAGGTCAACAAGCAGTACATGACTGGCACACGCGAATGTAATATGATTTCTTTCTTCTGCCTTCTTTACTTCTTCCCCTTCAATTGTCCGAAGAGTAGAAATGGACTGTTGAACACCTGATTAATCACGCGAAATCTTGAAAAGCTCTCCCAGGGCCATAAATCTTGCCTAAAATAGTATGAATGACTCGTCATGAGATATAAGTAATTTTTGAAAAATAACGTTAAAAACACTCCAAACCTTCACAAAGACCCTCTTGGGTTTGTTTTCGGTTTTCTCTTTTGAGCAACTTGTAAAACTCCCTTCAATCCGGTAATTCTAATGGAAGATCRTGATGATATTGGTATCTACAAGAACGCCAGAGATCTAAGACTGAAACTATGCACTTCTTGTCATAGATCTTGAGACAGGCGTGGTCAGATGATAGTATCTTGGTAACCGTAATAAAAATAACTGAGACTTGTACATAGGTAGACAGCGATATTTCTTTAAAGAGATTTTACTCGCACGTATGTCTGCTAGTAATGCTTGTATTAGTCACGTTACTCTGCTGGGATAAAAGTCTGACGCGTCATTGAAGTGTTTAACTGGCTATTATAACTGACACTAGTTATCAGATAAGGTCCAATATTTCGAGTCGCGCGTGAGCATGGTCACAGTAATGCACTTTATTCGATAAGTGATTTTAATCGACTTGAAAAGCAAATGTCTTTTAAAATCWGGCCAACAAACTTTATTCGATTAGTTTAATTCAATTACATGTAATCTGAAAGACGCATCTGAATCTCCTGKCCAAATCAGCCGAGAATGTTATGATCAGTTTAAACGGAACCCTCACAACCAAAACTAAACAATGGTTCCTGTAAAGCATTAGTGGTACTTTTTTCGCGTCAAAAAAATTGACGTCTAGTGTAAATATTAAGAAAACTACCTTTTTGTGGTAGAGCGGCGGCATTAACATATGATACCCATTGGTTTTTGCACTAAAAATAATCCTTTATTTTTAACTTAATCCCTTATTTTTAACTTTATTTTGCTAATTGAGTTTAGTTATTATGTCTTAAAGGCGTGCTCTGTGATTGGTCGAGGCGACAAGAAATTAAAGCGCACAATCTGAGTAATGAATTGATGGGTTTCCTTAGGTTAATGTCCTTCTGCCAAAGGAAGCCCAGAATATTTCACATGATTGAAGTCTCTCGCCAGTCCAACGCAATATTTGTACCACAGCGAACCCATCACACACTRGACTTCATTTGTTTGGTGCTCGCGTGGCTTTATGTGCGTTAATGAAAAAGGAAATTACATCAAAAGCGACCGGTAATGAACTRTGACGCTACTAATATTAAAGCCAATTAAAGACGTCTATTTACTGTATTTCAATTAGTCTCGTCTAATCAGTTTTCAATGTTTGGATTGTAGCTATTTTCATATCTATATTCTTTGCAAGGCATCGGTTCCACATTACACTGCCGCAGAGTGACAATGATTGTTCATTTTGCGTGTTACCGAGTCTATCTTTGGTGCATCTTAACATCTTATAAAACGATTATTGATCTTAGTCTTTCGTCTCCAGCTTGTGTATTGTAACTTGCGTTTTGCTATCTTGTTTCGATATCCTTATTTTTTTCGTTTGAGGCACCAATCTTGAAGCTTTTTGAAAGATATGGTCGGCATTAAAAACTATTTGATGTTCAAATTTATCAAATAGGACAACAAAGGACACGACGATAAAGAAACTACTACTTTTAATTCTATCTTGCAATGAAAGAAAACGTTTTGAGMCAACTATTTGCTTTACTCATGATGCCGTTGAACTARGTGRWTTGTTCATTTTGTTCAAGTTGCTAACAACACAATCTTTTCCAAGAAGCCTAATAATCTTCAATTAGTGACACCTGAAAACATTGATCCATTTTCCATCTTCATTCTATGGGTTCATTAGCAGTGCCGAATTTAGTAAGATTGTTGTCATGATTGTCAAATGATAATRCATTTGAATATGTATGTGAAGAGGTCTGTGCTTCTTGACAAAGTTTAAGCGGACATGAGTTTCACTGATTCGTCGAATCTTGCATGTGTTGAAGTCAATTTGTTGCTGCTCATTATCATGCTCATTTTCACATGACTTCGGTACATGTGAAATTCGACGTATGAAACTGGTCTTRGATAAGTCTAATTTRGACAGATAACGTCCAGTGTCATTATTATGCATAGTGGAAAATAGCCAAGTGAAATCTTTAACTAAGCAGGTTCCTTTTTAGTAAATACTTTTTTTTATTCTACTGTTGTTGTTTTTTGGTCTTCTTTGTGCATTAGACGTGTCTATCGAGTACCGTAATCTTCATCTTACAGTCTTGCAAATGAGGAAAATATAATGGTTAAGTAAATACAGTTTGTGTATTTTGACAGTGTAATGTCAAGGCAYATGATATCATTCATAATGTCAGTATTTTTTGAATAGAAAGAGTTTTTTCGCTGTCTGAACATCACTGTTCTGAGTATTGCCAATTGTGTGTATTCACATGTCGTGGAATGAATTCTTATTTTAATTCGTATTATTTATTTATCAGYAAGTGATATTTAGAAATATGAATAAAGATCATTGGAACTGATGAAGTTATATAAATTCTTGGATTCTAAATTCCATTCCATGCTGATACTGAGTTTATTGATTTCTGACTMTTTTCAAAATAGAATGCCTTGCCAAGCGATCAATGGAAAGGCTTGCGAMTTAAGCTTGTGTTTGGCCCCATTTTGCTTGTTTGGAGGTCGTAATAGTACTAATTAAAKACCGGACATTTCAAAGGTGTTTATGCGCAAATAATCAGCGTTCGCCTTCAAAACAGCACGCAAAAACTCCTCTGGAAATCTTTCTAGATTAATAAAAATCTCTTTTCGGCAATCGAACTTGGAGGTCGCGGATAAAGTCTTCCCCTTCTTAATGATTTTTAAATCCGTACACAATTTATAGACGGTGTTTTTTATCTAAGATAATACTGTGAATATAGATGTTATGAGAAAACACCAATTAAAAAGTCTTTAAAGTTACTTGCTTTAAAGAGGGAGATTATTAGTGGGAATGACCTCAAAGAACGCWACATCATGAGCACCCTTGCCWAGATCACCCACTCTCGTGTGCTGAATGCTGATTTTAATCATTTTTGGTTCTCGATAATGTTAGGATTATTTACTAAAATCAGGCTTCCTTCAAGCTGTATTAGAATTCATTAAAATCATGACCACATAGTTACGTCAGTAGGGTAACTTCACCTTAGTTACTGCATCGCGTTTTTCAAGTGATTTTAAATATATTCAGTTTCTTTTTATCGTTTCTCATCTCGTCAGTTTGTTCCATTTTATACTTTCAATATTCCGGCTTTGGCGATTAGATACAATCATTTCTTAGAGATCTGCAATCTCTTGCTTTGGCAAGTGTCGTCTTTCCGCTTCTAAAAGCGCATCTCTTACGTGGCGATAAGCAAGGAGTTTAACTTGACATTTCTCCATTCTCGACGACAAAAGCTTTAGTTCTATCTCTTTGCCTTACTGCAAATAACATACCGTTCATGTCACGAACTCTCCGATGTCGCCGATACGCGCAGCAAAGAATGAAGAAAAACACTAAAATTACAGCAACACAAAACACAACAGATATGGCTGCCCAAATTTCTTGACCAATTTTTGTTGGCGTTCCTTCTGTATCAGACATGAATCTGGCAATAATTCAACTTACTCGAAATTTTACACCAGAAATGCCATATAATTAGTTGTACAACTGTAGAAAGTAGAAAATAAACCGTTGTGTATAATGATTCGTAACTGTCGTCTTGCAGTTTTATACAGGAACAAAACGCTTGATTTTGTAGAAGTTTGTTTGATAGAAGACTTGCTAACACAAATCTGCAATGTTTGTGTGTATTTTTTGAAGCCGATGTTTGGACGTTTATGCTTTTTACGTGTTATTTCTTGCTCAATTCACCAGTGTTTCACTGCAGAGAGGACTAAGACTAGAAGTCTAATTCATAGCTGCCAGTCACTGTGGTCTCTTCCACCTGATTAGGCTCAGGGAGGAAATCCTTTTTCCTATGTTTGCTAGAGGATTTACGGAAGTTGATTGTCAAGAAAACGTCGCAAAACAGAAAGAAATCAGTATGAAAGTCCTTTTAAAATGTCATTACAACATGAATCTGATCAACGAATCAGATGACAGCAATCACGACTTGGAGCAAAATTCAGCACAACCGGTGACGTATGCAATGTAGGAATCAACCTTACATACTTATCATGATCAAATTTGATTTTCTGATTACTGCAGTAATCAAGCTCATAGGATTATTTTAATCAGCTCGTGTTTTTTAATTCACTCCTTTTCATATTGTGTTGACTCAATAATTTATCGCYATCGCTTCTTGTGGTAGAGTACGCCAATATCCATGAAACATTGACAGATAAATGAATTCGACGGTGTAGTTAGTACCTTTAAGAACAAAATGCTATGATAGGTGTTGATAGACATGTATTAAATTAAATTTATACTGTGAACATRTTGCTTGGCAACGCATATCAACCTTAATATCGACCAAAGTGTACTCCAACAGAAAAGCGAAATAAAGTTAGAAAAAAAATAATTTATTAATGAGTCATATCTACAAGCGTGCATGTCTCTATTTTCCCGCCTTTTCARCATTCGATATTTGTAATGATCTTTGGATAAAAGACAGAAATTTCAACTGCTRTACAAACATAGTTAACTTGTACATGCGCATTGTTTGCTCAATGAAAGTTAATTTTGATAGACTTTTCTAGCATTTCAATTAGGACGGTGTTTCTGTAAACATCCAACAACTGGACTTCAAGTCGACTTGCGGATTTATGTAATAAATTCCAAGTCATTTTCATATATTTTTTTCTGGATTCAAAGAGTAATTTTGAGGAATGAATATCGCAAATTATACCAAGAAAAAAGATATCGCTTTATTAAAGTTGTAATTAAGAGACTTATACGCACTWATCACTAGATTCTTACCTTTTCTGAATTGAAAACGTTAATTTMTTTTTAGCAAAAAGGATAAATCCCAAAATAGATCAGTTTGACGAACTACATTTTGCCTCTCGATAGATGACACTTTTTTTAGGCCCTTCACAGACAAAACGATTAGCTATCGACAACTTAATGTCATCGACAGCCAAAACACATCGTCTTAAGGACAAACAGCCAACAGCTAAGCTAACTTGTCGACCACAATCTCAATATTTTTGGGATCAAAAATGGTCGCCTAAAAAAGTTAAAAATCAAGAGAATACAATGGGTTTTGTTCTGTTTTTGAGGCTATTTTGATGGGCTTTCACGCACTAGAACAATTTCCTGTATTAGTGATGTAGAGCATGATCAAAAATGATTTCGTATTAGAATCATCCTCAGAGACCAATCGACAACGGGTTTTGGCTGTTGATTAAAAGTTGCGGACATTAAGATAAAGAAAGTTTCAATAASAAATCTTCACAGCCCACCACAATGAACGATTCAGTCTTCGCTAAGGGCCAGAAGTACTACTTACGCGCGCCTTGAGTTTTCAGTCTAGTGTAGCGCTTTAACGGCAGCGTGGATTCTAGGTCGGACCCTATTCATCAGACCTTAATGATCCATGCTTTTAAGGCTTAATAACTTTCTAGAACAAAATACAGACAGAAGGATCTAATTATTTCCTGTTTTAAGTGGGTATTTTTTGTGAAGGAAAACATTAAAAGATCATAAAATTGTTCCTCTTCTATTTCACGATCGTCATACTCTCCCGAAAATAGACGTCAAAGCGTTTTTCTCAAGACAATAAAGTTAAGTATGTAAACAGAGGCTTTGAATTACTGGCAGCAATCAAGTACCAATTTAATCCGTGTCATCAGCCAGAAGACTGCATGGCGGTTCTAGGGGAGGAGCACAAGGRCTGTTTGCCATCATTATCATTGACGGGGTTCCTGTGTTTTTGTTTTAGATCGAGACTAATAATTCAAGATGGCGGCCGGACTTGAAGGAAGCGGCTCCAACAGTTTYATACAAGARATTGCAGTTCTAAGCRTCATACAGCTCACTATAACTATACTTTCAAGTCTTTTTGCAAATTATCTCTTCACCAATGTATCATATATCTCCAAACCAGTTTACTCTTTCAAGATATTTTCAGTGGTATATTTCTTAATGTCATTGTTATTGTTGTTGCCTCGCAGTAAAAAACGTCTCTCGGTAAGGATTAATTTCGTTATGAACTTRTATGTTACTTTAAATGACTCTAAAGTAAAAATATATATCCATGAAACAGAGAGTTTTCAACAACGACTCTTTATAAACATTCACTACCATCTTAACACTGCATTCTTCGTTAACATGTTTTTTCTATTATTAACTTACTTCATAACAATATTAATTATCTATGAAATACCTATATTTCTCCATTACGTAAAATTGATATTTTCACTAGTGAAAATAACACATTCGAGGTTTCTCTATATAGTGGAAGTAAGAAAAAAGGTATTTTACGATATAATTTGCTTTCATATTTAATTGTATGATAAACAAATTTTATCTTCTCGTGTTGAAAATCTATCACTCGTTGACTWCCCTCACTCGTGAGAGATCTTTTCAACACTCGAAGATAAAATCCGYATCTCCGCGCGCCCATGTAATATCATCTATATATAAAAAATATAAATGAAATACATCAACAGCACTAGGATAAATGGATGTTGAAGTTTGATTTTGTASTGTCTTTGAACCTCTTTAATTGTTGGCTGTTGATCATCAGGAATAATAATAAACAAATCGATTGATGRCATAGTTAATTCACATTGAGAGGGCTTGACCAGTCAATGATCAATCAATAGTAACATGTTTTCTCATGGGTTAACGCTAGTCAAGGTAAAAAAAAAATGGAATTCAATACCAATCTACTTCACACAAGCGATATCATGCAATGACCAGCAATCAGTTAATGGCAATGATTCATTACCAGTCTGCATACATCAATTGATCACTCATGATTGTTTCTCTATGTCAAATAAGCCATGAGATTGATAGTAGATGGTATTAGACCATACAGTYATTATGCAGGAGATATTCATGCATATAAGACCTTCTTCTTGTATGTTTTAGCTTGTGCATTTACTSAAGTTACCAGTGATGATTGGATGTTGTACATTATTATTTCATGTAATAGCAGTTCTATATGGAGCTCCATTCTTCACGTGAGTACGATAGCCCTGGTTCTATGATCATCTTATATGCACTACATGTGTGGACATTTTTGGTGTATATTATCAGGTGGATAAGAATTTATCTTGTCAATAGTGTTGATTCGTGCTTCATACAACTGGCCTCTGCATTGTTAGGTTATATCTTACATTGTATGAAGAAATGAAAGAGTAAATATCAATTCTCCCAGGCTCTGGATTTATGTCTACATCTTAGTTATTATAGTGTTGGATTCTAATATCAACAAATGTTGTATGTGTAATTTTAGTAAAACTGARGAAACTTCAACATTTGGACTTGTGATGGCCATGATAACCTTTTTGCCAGCCTGTTGTGTGTTAGGAATTGAACTTGAGACATTTTATAGAGTATTTACTAGTACATGGTAAGTACTGCATGATGTAAAAAAGTCGATGACACTAATAAAGTCTCAAATACTACCCATCAGG